TTTTACATCTGAACTTACCTTTTCTAACTAGGTAGACAATGAATCTGATGAATCAGATGAATCAGATGAACCAACTAATTCTTTAGAACTGACTTCTGGACTTACCTTTGCTAATTGGGAAGAATTCAAGAATTGGATATATAGATTTGCATTAAAAGAGAGTTTCAATTATAAGACTATAACAAGTAAAATTATTCAAGGTATAATGAGAAGGGCTACTTATGAATGTACTAAATCTGGATCCTATATCATCCACTTACCTCGATGATCCAAGAAATAGCCTCACGATTTCAGAAGTTGACAGCAGAAATATTAGCTGATGTGGAGAAATATGTTGTCCAAGAGCGGATAGATTCAGAATCTATATATCCCTTACTAAAACATGACTATTCTAATCAACCTATCTACAAGCAAGATTTATATAATGCAGTTTATCAGTTCTGGAAAAAAAATAATCTAAGAGATGTAGATGCCTTACAGATGCTCCAACTATTAATGGATTAGAAGGACTTGAAGCCGCTTTGGATTATAAGACCTCAATTAGACCCAGTCTCAAGAAGATTAATTTCTCTTTTATGGATATCACATATACAAAGAGAGTTATATAGCAAGTATAATGATGTTATTATATTAGATAGCACTTATAATACCAACTGATTTCAGATGATACTCTGCATTATAACTGTAGTTGATAATAACTATAGAATCAGAATTGAAGACAAAATATTAAATACTTACTGATAGATATTTGAGAATATACTTACTGAAACTGGTATTTCTCCCTGAATTGTTTTCACTAATTCAGATCCTTCTATGATCTGATCAATCAAGGATATTTATTCCGATGCCTAGCACCTACTATGTATTTTTCACATAGATTTGAACTTTTGAAAAAAGCTCAAAGAAAAATTAGGCAATCAGTTTGAGGAATTTTGTCGTAAGTTTTATATATATCAGAATTCTCTTTGCAAGGAGCTATTCAAGCATCGATAGAATCAATTAGTCAAACAGTATCCAGCAGCAAAGAAATATTTGTCTGATACTTATTACAATACTAAGGATTCATAGGCAATACCTTGGATCTATAGATGGTTTACAGCTAGTGTACAAAGTACACAGAGGGTCGAGTCAATAAACAAACACATACATGATAAAGTAGATCATGCAACATCACTATATGATTTGTTAGTTAGTATTAAGAATTATGTAAAGAATGAAGAATATCTTAAAAAGTTTGAAGTTGAACGAAATGCCTTACCTATAATTGGTATGCCAATGCTGAATACAAGATTCTTCGGTCAAGTAGATGCTATTATTAAAGACTTTTTAACTCCTGTGATGCTTGGAAAACAAAGATCACAAATAAACAAATCCGTATATTATGATATTAATCGAATTACAGAATGACAGCATTTGATAGAGGTATGTAAAGAAAAGTAGCATTAATGAATAATTTTATAAACTAACACTTATCATTATAGGCAGAAATTGATGATGAAGAAATGAGTAATAGAATTAGAGAACAAGATCAGGATACGCAACAGATTCTTTTTGGATCTTTGATCAAAAATATACTACAAAGAGCTATCGTAGAAGTATGGAATGTACATGTAACTGGAACTCAAGGAATAGGATACTATGTGATCTTGTTTGATGAAAGTACACATCTATATACCTGTCTTCTCTTGATCAATAAGGGGTTAGTTTGTCATCATTTTTTCTGTGTTAGTACTTACTCAAGATTTGCTACCTTCCACATAAGTATGATCCCAAATCAGTGGTACTTGAATTCTAATGTTAAACCGGACGATCTTCTGCAGAAGTATCATTCTATTTCAGTATATAATGCAGTACAATTAGAAGATAATATGGTATTCGAAAAAAGTATCAACTTCTAACATTTCTTTTCCATTCAGACTGATTCATATAGCTCTCAACCATCTACAAAATCAATTAAAGCTAAATATGTGGAATTATCTGGGTTATCAAAGAAGGCTATTGATTATGCTATTAAGGCTAATATGCAAAATGAATTATTAAATATTTTTAAAGCTTTTATTTATGATACTAATAATAAAGCGAATGAACTAGAAGCAGAAAACATAACTGATATTAATAATCCTATCATTATTAAACATAAAGGAAGACCTCTAAAAAGACTAAAAGTGAGTGTTGAAAAGGCTTTACATAGAGAAAAACAAGTTCTAACGGATAGTACAGGTATTAATGTAATAGAAGATGGTTCTTCAAATAGTATAGAAAACTCAACAAATGATACAAAAGGTTGGAAATATGGGAGATGTAAAAAATATAGACA